TACATGAGATAACTAGAGTAGTCAAATTTATAGAGACAGAAAGCAGGATGGTGGCTGCCATGGCTGGGGGGAGAGGGGAAAGGCGAGAGTTATTATTTAATGGGTATACAGTTTCAGTTTGGGAAGATAAAAAAGTTCTGGAGATGGATGATGGTAATGGATGTACAACAATGGGAACATACTTAATGCCACTGAGCTGTACATTTAAGAGTGGTTAAAATGGTAAATTCTGTTATGTATATTTTATAACAATAAAAAGAAAAAGTTTTTTTAAGTGTTCTTTTTATTTTTTTATTTTCTATGTGACCACTTAAGGGTTTTTATTTGCATTTAACATTTAAAACACTGAAACAGTACAAACTGAGAGGTAAAATAGTTTTGTTTACACTAGGATATTCATTTTTATTTTTTTACTACCAAGATAATGTATAACAAATTTAATTTAAAAAATTTTCATTGTCTGCATGTCTGTTCTCATCATCATTATTACATGTTTTGTTTCATATCTCTTGCTGTATTAAAATAATCTTGACACCTTGGGGCAATGGCTACTTTTTAGATAGGCCTATTTATTAAGAATTTTTTTTTATATGAGTTATTTTTGTTCTTACAAAAGGTTGGCCTGTGCAAAATCTGGGCTAGGCATACTTTACCTTGGACTTTTTCTTTGTTCTCGGACTTGTAGATATCCCAATATCTCCATACGATTCTCTGGTGAACCATCAATTCCTCCCCTTAATAAATCCCTCCGATTATTCATAGTTTTTGTAAAACTAATTTAAACTAATACATAAAAAGTTTCCACAATTTTTAGTTCAGTAATTCAAATTAATATTGTTAGAATTTCAAGTAGTATAAAACCTGTAACTGCTTAAATAACTTACCGGCAATTCTCCCTTCCACATTTAAAGCTACTTTTGTTTTTCCTTCACAATAGATTTATCTGTTACCATTAACTGCGTGCCTCATGTGTCAAGAGCTGTACTAGCAGCTCTTTCATATAAGGCAAGTCACATACCAGACAGAAATTTTCAGGAGAGAAGACACCAACATTTGAATAACTATTATATATTAAAATTTTCATTAATTATTTCATTCAATCATTAGAATATCATTGTGAATTAGGCTTTACTATTACCCCATTTTTTAAAGTACAACCAAAAGTTACAAATTGCTAAGTAATTTGCCCGTGGTATTATTTTTTTCCAGCTTTACATTTGTGGAAACTAAGTCTTTTATTTTTTTAAAGATTTTATTTATTTATTTGACAGAGAGACAAAGAGCACATGTAGGCAGAGCGGCAGGCAGAGGGGGACGGAGAAGCAGGCTCCCTGCTGAGCAGGGATCCCAGGATCCCAGGATCCCAGGATCACAACCTGAGCCCAAGGCAGCCATTCAACCGATTGAGCCACCAAGGCGCCCCAGAAACTAAGCCTTAAAGAGATTTAAAAGTTCATAAATCTTTATATGAACTGAAGTCATAATATAAAATGAAACCCACATAGATTCAAGGTCTAATCTCTTCATTTATACCACAGAGTCCCTACAAAGTACAATCCTGTTTCTATGCCACATGCAATCTGTGCAAATTTGGGCTGCTGCTTTCATCCTAAAAGCTTTCCTATATAAGGCCAATATTTCTGATGAACATAGGTGCCAAAATCCTCAACAATATCCTAGCAAACCAAATCCAAAAACATTCATTAAAAAAAAAACATTCACCACAATCAAGTGGGATTTATTCGTGAGTTGCAAGCATGGTTCAATATTCACAAACCAATCAAAGTAATACATCACATCAATAAGAAAATGGATATGAACCATATGATCATTTCAAGAGACACAGAAAAAGCATTTGACAAAGTACAACATCCATTCATGATAAAAATCCTCAACAAAGTAGGTTTAGAGGGAACATACTTCAACATAAAAAAGGCCATATATGAAAAACCCACAGCTAACATCATTCTTAATGGGAAAGAACTGACAGCCTTTCCCCTAAGGTCAGGAATGAGACAAGGATGTCCACTCTTACCACTTTTACTCAACATAGTACTGGAAGTCCTAGCGACAGCAATCAAACAACAAAAAGAAAAAAAAGGCATCCAAACTGGTAAGGAAGAAGTAAAACTTTCATTCTTTGCAGATGACATGATAATATATATAGAAAACCTGAAAGACTCCACCAAAAACTTGCTAGAACTCATAACAGATTCATTAAAGTCACAGGATACAAAATCAACGCACAGAAATCTGTGGCATCCCTATGCACCAATAATGAAGCAGTAGAAAGAGAAATTAAGAAAACAATCCCATTTACAATTGCACTAAAAATAATAAGATACCTATGAATAAACCTAACCAAAGAGGTGAAAGACCTGTATTCTGAAAACTATAAAACACTGATGAAAGAAATTGAAGATGACATGAAATGGAAAGACTATCTGTGCTCATGGATTATAAGAACAAACATTGTTAAAATGTCTATTCTACCCAAAGCAATCTGCACATCTAATGAAATCCCTATCAAAATATCAACAGCATTTTTCACAGAACTAATCCTAAAATTTTTATGGAACCACAAAAGACCCTGAATAGCCAAAGCAATCTTAAAAAAAAAAAAACAAAACAAAAAACTGGAGGCATCACAATTCCAGACTTCAAGTTATATTACAAAGCTGTAGGAATCAAAACAGTATGGAACTGACACAAAAATAGACAAATACGTCAATGGAATGGAATAGAAAACCCAGAAATGAACCCACAATTATATGGTCAATTAATCTTCAAAAAAGCAGGAAAGAATTTCCAATGGGGAAAAGACAGTCTCTTCATAAAGTAGTGTTGGGAAAACTGGAGAGCTACATGCAAAAGAATGAAACTGGACCACTTTCTTACATCATATACAAAAATAAATTCAAAATGGATGAAAAACCTAAATGTGAGACCTGAAACCATAAAAATCCTAGGAAAGAGCATAGGCGATAATTTCTCTGACATCAACTGTAGCAACTTTTTTTCTATAGAGGTCCCCTGAGGTAAGGGAAACAAAAGCAAAAATAAACTACTGGCACCACATTAGAATAAAAATCTTCTGCACAGCAAAGAAAACAATCAACAAAACTAAAAGGCAACCCATTGAATGGGAGAAGATAGTTGCAAATGATGTATCTGATAAAGGTTTAGTATCCAAAATATATAAAGAACTGATACAACTCAACACCTAGAAAACAAATAATAAAACAAATAAATTTATCAATGTGCAGAAGACACACAAACAGACATTTCTCCAAAGAAGACAAACAGATGTGTGCCTGGGTTGCTCAGTCAGTTAAGCAACCAACTCTTGATCTCAGCTCCTGGTCTTGGTCTCAGGGTCATGAGTTCAAGCTCTGTGGAGTCTATCAAACAAAAAGAAAAGAAAAGAAGACGACGACGACTATGATAACAACAACAGCCAGCTGGCCAACAGACACATGAAAAGATGAAAAATGTTCACTATCACTTATCATCAGGGAAATGCAAATCAAAACTACAATGAGATATCACCTCATACCTGTCAGATTAGCTAAAGTCAACAACACAAGAAACAACAGGTGTTGGCAAGGATGTGGAGAAAAAGCAACCCTCTTGCACTGTTGGAGTAGCCACTATGGAAAACAGTATGGAGTTTCCTCAAAGAGTTAAGAATAAAACTACCCTATGATCCAGCAATCTCACTACTGGGTATTTACCCAAAGAATAGAAAAATAATTCAAAGGGATACATGCACCCCCACATTTATATATAGCTGCATTATTTACAATAGCCAAGATATGGAAGCAACACAAGTGTCCATTGATGGACTGATGAATGGATAAAGAAGAGGTTGCATAGACATACAATGGAATATTACTCAGCCACAAAAAAGAATGAAATCTTGCCATTTGCAGTGACATGGATGGTGTTAGAGTAATGCTAAGTGAAATAAGCCAGAGAAAGTCACATACCATATGATTTCACTCATATGTGTAATTTAAGAAATAAATGAGCAAAGGCGGTGGGGAAGAGAGAGACAAACGAAGAAACACTCTTAACTATAGAGAACAAACTGCTGGTTACCAGAGGGGAGGTTGGATGGGGATTAAGGAGAGCACTTGTCATGATGAGTACTGGGTGATTAAAATAAAAACTTAAAAATAAATAAAACAATGTGTTTAACCAGGAAAAAAAAAAAACTTTGCTGTATCTATAAAACAAGACCATGGGAAATACTTCCCGTCCTTCATGTAGGATGTAGGCCAATTAAACCTGGTCAGCCAAACTTGTAGAATAAGATTTCATAAGTTCCATCCAGGCCTAGGAATTGAATATAACTGCTAAAACAGTGATTTTCAAAATGTGGTCCCCAGACCAAGTAGAAAAAGCACCACCTGGGAATTTCTGAAAGCCCTGCCCCAAACCTTCTAAATCAGAAACTCTGACAATAGGGCTCAGAAATCTGTTTAATAAGCCCTTTTGGCGACTTTTAATGCATGTTAAAGTTTGAGAACCTCCTCTCTAAAAGAGTAACTGAACAAAGAGGGAGCTCCTTGTAAGGAGGCTCTTTACCTCGGGTACTGAAGTTCAATTGTTTAGAAAACAAGGTGTTCTCTTCACTTTCCCAAGCAAAGCAGACATATTATACTTGTCTGAGTACTTAATTTTAATTAAAATAACTTCAAAAATATGAAATCAAGATTTATCTCCAATAAAACTTATTAAACACAAAATAACTCCTTCAACTTTATACATTTGTGACTATGTTAACTATAAGCACTGTGTTACCATACTTTGATTAATAAGGCTAATTCGTAAAATTAGTGTAATTTGAAAGGCCTTAGCTTCCACTAAAAACTAGACCCAAATATTTTTTCCGACATCCCTCTGGTTAAGTCTACTTAATTCATTTGAAATTATTCATCTTTCACACAATTTTAACTAACTTTATCAACGAAAATGGTAATGATTTATTACATTACCTGTGTATATAACTTTTTGACCCCGGCATTCAAAAAGAGACCTTTTCCTGTGTTTGTGTGTTTTTTCCCGAAATCTTACTGTTATCGCTACATTTGGATTACCAGCATTGTAACTGAGTTCAGGGAAAGATTTGGTTTCCACAAGGTTTCCAAACTTTTTGTTGACAAAATGGTGGACAGCTTTTCTGTGGTCTTTGTTTGTGTCAGGTTTAAAGGTAAATTTTGAATTTTCTTTCTTTGCATCCAAATATTTAAAAAAGTCAAATGCTTCTTCTTCAGATACCAAGTGACAGAGTTCCTTAAACTCAAGATTTGGTTTTACAACAATCTCACTGTTTTTACCAACGGTTATTAAAAAGGGGAATTTCTGCCTAACAGCACTATGCAAAATAGCCCTCTGGTTTTTGTCAAGGATTCTGCCTAATGAGAATTCAGGAGATGATCCAATTAGCTCAGTTTTAGAATTCCACTTCTCTTTTATATCACAGGCAAAGTGATTCAGTAATTCGTTAGTTTTTTCATCTAACAAGTTGCTTAAAACATCAACTTTTTCTTCACCTTTGGAAGTTCCATCATTGATAGTATCTTCCTTTTCTGAAGCAGACTGATGATTTTGGTCATCATCAGAGCACCCAGTGACAATATTGACTTCTTGGTTGCTTCCCTCTTTAAAGGATAAATTCTGAAAATCAAGTTTTGTTTTTTTGGCAAAATTATTTGGCTCAGGTAGTACTTTACTAATCCATTCATTAGTGGCCTTATTAACTAACTGTCCCTGTTCATCGATCTCTATAACAACAAAGTCACTTGGTGAGCTTTTTATAGTGCCATGAAATCCAACATGATCAGTAATGAAACACAAAGAACTAAACCTGACTCTAAAATCTGTATCCTCTTCCATTCTTAAATAACAATGCCTACAAAAGAAAGAGAGAGGCAGTTACCAGAAAGAATAGTTATGGATAACAAAAAAGAAATGTATTTGCAGGACTTATTTTTCTTTCTCCCTTTCAATCCTGAGTTCCCTTAAGAAACGTTAGCAATTTATTTCTATATATCATGTGTATTTTGACCCTTCTATACCAAGATGAATTAACAGGCAATCTTTTCTGGTGTAACTGATGATTTGCAACTTCACTCTTCATCCACTCCAAGCTTCCATCCATTATCCAGGATTAAAATGGATCAGTTTCAAGTTTACTTTAAAAATACCACTTGTAGGCCCACAAAGAAAAGACCAGAACATAGGACTTAATGATTTGTCTAAATCCCATTCCTGAAAATTTCCAGCTAATTCCGGAGAATTTGTGGCTAGATTTTTATATATTAGGGGTTGGAGATGAGAGACGGGACCAGAAGACAGGAAGAAATAGTCCAAATTGATAGATAAATGAAGTTCTAAAAACCAACCTGCAATTTATTAATTAATTAGTTTAATTAATTAATTTAACTTAAATTAATCCTGAACCTTAAACATTCTTGACAACCCAGTTATAAACTTTTACAGATACAAACTTTTGATGTTGACCCACAGGAAAATTCCAACCATGCTACTGGCATCAGAGAGAAAAAAACTTTTCAGATCTTCTTGAAGCAGTAGATAAGAGAATAATCCTCTGAAGAAGCCTTTATTCATTCTTCACACAGCCTATGGCTACCATACCAAACAGAGCTACATGAAAGACAAAATGCCCAGGGACCACATACTACTCACATATAACCACACTCTCTAGGTAATTCATCATCATCTGAACCTTCATCCCATTTCTACAATGTATTCTACTAATCTGAACCAATCTAGTAAACTTCCCCCGGATCATGCCACGTAGAAATCACAGCAAAGTCTCTATAACCTAATTTCCTAGACTACATAAGGATATGTTTATTTCCTCCATTCCTTAATTTCCTGCACAGTCTCCTCAGTTTCTTGTCATAACTGAAACCTGGTTATTTCCCTTCGCTGCTGCTTCTCTAGTCCTCTCAAGTGAAGGCTATTTTTCCTTTCACACCCACCTAACTTAGGACCTGGAGGATGTAAATATGTTTATTTGCCACTGCTCCAAACCATTTCTCTCTCCCCTACCTGCCCCAAATCCCAACTCCTTTGAGGTTCATGCAATCAGGCTTTACCATCTGCTGGCATCCTCTCTTTGGTCCCCAGAAGACTCCTCTTCATTCACTGATGATTTTAACACCTCCCTCAATGTCTTCCTACTCAACATGACTTCCATGTCCATCTATATGCATCATCTACTTGTTCCTCGATTCCTTGATCTCAACCTCAACCCACTTCCACGCCATCTTGGTCATAACCTTGACTTTCTCATCACCAAAAATTACATCAACTTTAAGCATCTGACTCTCTGATTACTCTTGCTGTCCTTCCATCATTTAGTACTCCCATCTTAGAAATTCTTATACATTGGGAAGGCCTCTAATCTCTTCTACTTAACTAGTCCACTATTGTCCATTCTCCACATGGCCAGAATGATGATTTGAAAGGTAAATTAAATATCACAATCCTCTTTAAAACTTCTAATCACATTGATAATGAAATCCAAATTACTTACCCTGGCTTCCAAAGACTTCTAGGATTCTGGACTCTATTCTCTAAAATTATCTTGTACCCTTTCCCCATTACCCACTACACTCCAACTACACTGGCCTTCTTCAATTCCTTTGTGTTAACCCTTCCTGATTAAATTAGTCATTCCTCAATCACATTCTCATAGAGGTCGTCCCTGACTAATAATGTAAAGGAACCAGCAAGACACTCTCTTCCCCCAAACCCTACTCAACTTTCTGCACAGTATTTCTATCTAATAATTTTATTATTTACGGTATATCTCTCCCAACTAGAATCTTAGCTCTATGGGAGCAAGTGCCTTGTCCGCCCAATTCACTGATTATCTCACATTTAAAACAGTGTCAAGGACAGAGTAAGCATGCAATCAATACTGACTGAATAAATGAATAAATGAAACAACTACTACAAAATAAGAGCTGTAAGAGTAAAAAGGAAGAAAAAAGGGATCACTTTTACCTATGATATGATAATCAGAGAAAGCGTAATACAAGAAGTGGCCATTTAAGTCCTCAAAACGATTCAAGACATAGAATAAGGTAGAGACATATCGTAAGTACATACAAACAAAATATACAATGTGTTAGGGGAAATTGAACAGCCCAGATACAAGAGCAGTAGGAGAAAAAGTTTTGTAGTACAGTTCTGGAAAATACAGCTCGGATTAGAGCCAAACTGCCAGACAGTGAATGCCCCTACCAAGAACTTAGAATCCGTTGAGTGGTCAACATATAGCTTGCAGCACTGGAGGTGTTTGAGTAGAAAAATGACACAATCCAAAAAGATGTTTTAGTAAGATGAATGATGGCACCGAGTAGATGAATGTGATGAAGAATTCCACAAGTTGGAAAGCAATGTGATCAAGAGCAGTTTTAGGATTGTCCTTGTAAAGAATAATGATGTACTCTTTCCCCAGTAGAAGGAAGAAAATATGAAGACATTCTACTACTGGGTTAGCTAGAACACCTTGGGAAGAACGTAATGTTCAGGGCATTACAACGAGCATCTTAGTAAAAGAGCGGAACTGAGCTGGACGGAGCCAAGGAGCCCACGTGGAGTTAAACACAAATAGGCAGTATTCCTACACAGCAGATTTCTTGACAAGGGTACGGGGCGGAGAGGAGTGGGTAGTTTGGCTGACCCAAGGTTGGGGAATTGGTGGTTGAGGGCAGATCTGGGGAGATGTTAGAAACGCAGCAGGTAGCGTTTTTCCCTCATGCTCTTCCTTCAAACGCCAACGCTCGGCTGCAGTCACTCCTATTTGCTTTCTGTTACCAATTCTCAGAACTAAAGTCTCTGGCGGGGTTGCCTTCTGGTGCATCAGAAGTACCCCTAGCACGGCCAGTGGCTCCACCTGCTTCTTCTCCCTCCACTACCCCCGCCTGTCCCAACGCCGATACTAGCCCATGTCCCCTTCCTCTTGCGGGCAAAAAGCCGGGGTCCCAAAGCTAATCTCATCACTGCCCCCCACAGAAGCCCCGCATCTTGCAAGAAGTCCGACCCGGTCTACCTCATGTCCAGGTTAAGGAATTCCTGGGCACAATGCTGTGCGCATGTCCGGAAGTCCTAAAATACTTAGCCTCCGACAGCGGCGTACTTAAAGGGGCAGGCTCACGCTTAAAGAAGAGTCTTAGGCGAGACCTGGGATTTCTCACGCTGCGAAGCCGCCTGGAAGCTCAAAGAGGAGGGACGGGGCGGGGCGGGGCGGGGCCTATTAGGTTGGGCCCCGCCCCGCTCCGGTGCTCTTCCGAACCTGGGTTCCTCCGCAGCCGGCTCAGCTGGGCGGTGCCCGGGCAGTCCTGGCGCCCAGCTACTGCGCAGGTAAGGAATTCCCGCGGTGCGCGTCTTCTTCACAGGTCGTCCAAGGTCTGCGCTCCGGTCTCCATCCCTGGGCCCCAGGGTTGTTGAAGGACGGTTTCGGAAGGAAAATCGCCTTCTATCTTCAAAGTGAGAAAAGTTACAGAGGAAGTAGGTTGTGTGGGCATAGCTTGCTGCAGCGTAAAGACTTGGGTGCGTTCCCGAGGATCAAAAAGTTAATAGGACCTGAGGAGGAAGCTGGGGCTTGGAGCGGCGTCACCAAGTCCTTCTGTGGCTCAGTCCGACCTCGCGTCAGGTTTCTCAACTCCCAGGCGATGTGTTGCGGGAACCGGTTTACGAAACGAATCTCTTTTCCTGAGAACCAGGAAGTAAGGCCAGCTTTGGGCAGAGATGCTCGTCGCGTGGAAGGCATTTTGGGCCTCCGCAAGATTCTAATTAGCTTGTCACTCTGGCTTGCAAGCTTCCAGGAAATTAGAAAGTGGAGAGGGGTGGAAGGATCAGGTAAGTACCTTATCAGATGGGAAAAGTATACCTGACAGCCTGGAGCAAGAGAGAAAACAGATGGATAAAAAGCAGACCCTGAGAAAGCGAGAAAACATTTTAGCTATTTGGAATGGGAACCAGGAGCTCTATTACTGCCTGAAAAACCTATCTGCCCAAGGAGGCCTAAGAGTAGAGAATATTAAAGTCTGCCTTTTCCCTGTCTAGGGGTATCCTTGAAGACATCTGTCAGAAAGTTCGTATTTCTTTTATGCTGTCGTGTTGAACATTCATTTGAAGTTTGCTTTCTACCTCTCCAGTCCAAGCTCCTGATCTTGCGGGCCAAACCTGCTCCATCCGCAGTCTTCTCCATCTAAGTAAATGTCGAGAAACGTTCAGGCCAAAAACCTTGGTGCAATCTCCTCACCCTTCATATCAGCACATGGGATTCTGTTTGCCCTACTTCGGAAAATATCCAGCATCCTAAAACTGCACCTTCCCTGCTACCACTCTGGTCCAAGCCACCAGCACCTCCCCTCTGGATTGTTGGTGTACTCCACCAATTGGTCTCTCCTGTTTCTCTGCTCTTACTCTGATATCCTTTACTCTCAGCAGCAGCCCCAGTGTCCTTTTAAGACATGAATATAAAGCATATCTCTCCCATTCTCAAAGCCTCCACTGTCTTCTCACTCAGAGGATAAACAAAATCAGTACAAAAGCTATAAAGCTTTAGGAGACCTGGTGCCTTACTGCTCTCCTAATCTGCTACTTTCCTGCTCCTTCCTCTCCAGACTTACTATCTCCCTGCTGTTCTCAGTGAGCCCACTTCAGACCTTTATATTTTTAGTATTCCTTTTACCCCAAAACTTCTCCCACAGATATCCCAGTGTCTGACTTTCCCAGTTCTTGAGACCTTAATCACATGGCACTTTCTTGAGGTCTACTCTGACTACCCTGTTTTAAAGTGAAACTCCTTCTCTGTTGATTTTTGTCCACTCCACTTGGCACCATCTAGCCTAGTATAAAGTATATTTGCTTATTGCCTGTCTTCCCCTATTAGAATATAAGGTCTATGAGTTCAGTTATGTTTTTCTTATTTTCCTAATGCTTTATCTCCAGGAACTTGAGTCAATATCCAGCACAAAGTATACACTTAGTAAATATTTGCTTTATTTCAATATTCAATATTTTAGAATATTGAAAAACAATGTTTTTTTATGTTTTTTAATACATCAAAATATTATATATATTTTTAATATAGCCAAAGCATTTTAAATTACTTCCCATTGAATTAAATCCATGCTTGAGAATTATGTTTAATATATGGCATACCAGCACATATCCCAGTTTGGGAAGGGCAACCCTATATAATTTAATAGGTCCAGAGGGTATCACCAGCTTTTGCTCCTAATGCAGGTGTTGAGTTGTCCAAAAATAAAGACTAATGGATATCTAGCATATTTTGCTTAAGAAAGCATGGGAGTGAATAATGTATTTTAGGGAAGTTATAAATATATTAAAAATACTATGTGTAATAAAATAAGACTGCCACTACCTGAAAAGCTTAGCTATATTCTCAGACCTCTTATTTCTACTCTGTCAGTAGCCCCTTACCACTGTTCTGAAAACTGAGCTTAAATACAACTCTGCACATTTCTTTTCTTTAAAAAAAAAAAGTTATATAAAAATAACTTCTGCCATAAAATAATTATTGCAACATTTTTAAAAATCACCTAATTATTGATAGGCCCTTTGCATTTGTTGGTTTAAAATCTTACAGCAAGTCTTAGGTATTACCATCTCTGTTTTTCAGATGAAGAAACCAAGGTCCATAGAAATTCAATTATTAAGTCTGGTCACAAGTGGTTTGTGGAAGAGATACATTAGAACCCAGGCCCATGCAACCTCAAAGTCCATCTTCTTCCTCCCCTCTATCCTCTCTTTCACTGATAAGAGTGCTGATGAAGCACCGTCTTAAAACTTCATTAATTCATTTGACAAAAGATTTTTATTTCCTATTTGGGGCACAATACTTTGTTTGAGAACATCCATATAAGTGAGAAGTATTCCACAAGGAAACATTCATTTTAGTATATTTCTCAATTGTCATCTTACCTCATGTTCTTGTCCGAGTTGTCTTGTTTGAAAATATGAATGGTTACCATGAGAATTAATGGCATGAGAAAAGTTATGAAGATATGTATTTATTTACTTGTAAGCAATGTATCTTTTTCTACTTCTCTTAATCCTAAGCACATGAATTCTTGAACACTTTGAAAGAAGTGATACTTTTTAATTTTTTCTGTACAATTTATTTTTATTATTGAAAATGCAGAAAAGCAAGTGAAAACAAAACCACCATAAAAATCACCATCAAGAGGTATTCACAATTAATGTTTTAGTATATGTTCTTCCAAATGTGTGTGTGGTGTAATATGAACGTATGTTTAAAGTAAAATTTTAAATTCTGAGATTTAGAACTTATAGGCATACATAGAGAGAGGAGTTGTCAGAAGGCTTTCCTAGTTTTGGTATCCCTATGCCATCACCTCTCCTAGAAATCTGGATATAGGAGAGCTACAGAATTTATCCCTGGTCCTAAGATAGACTTTTTATTCTCAATTTCCTGTATTTTAGCTCTAGCCTTTAGGATTACCAAGCAGTCCTACTTTTACTAGTTTTGTCAATCACATTGTACTTCTTACAATGGAGGGAAATCTAAGTAAAAATAAAGGAAAATAATATGAATGGAGCAACTGCAAAATCTACAGGCAGATATAATTTCTTAATTAAAAAAAAAATCAGTCTTTCTCACACTCAACAGAAATATTTTGAGTAGCTGCTAAAGCCCAGTTTGGTTGGGTCTCTGCTTAGGAGAGCACACCATCTAGAAGAGAAGGCAGACACACAAACAATAAAATATGATAATTGTTATACTAGAAGAATGGTGACAGGTTGGAGCAAAAGATATGACTATCAGGGAGAGCCAACAGTGCATTTTGCACTGAGCTTGAAGAAATCATAGGCATTTGCCCTGACCCTCAAAGTGATTGGGCAATTCTTCTACCTAGCCCTAGATGACCTCACCTCCTACTTCATCAAGAAAATAACATTGTGTGGGAATTCTCCCTCTCCCTTCAAATATGTCTGTATCCAAACCCCTTTCTAGATTTGGAAGAAAAGTTTCCTTCTTTTCAAGGCTGATGTCTTTACCTATGCTCTGTTCACTATCCCTTTTGTATCTTCAGCCAAGCTTAACTCTTAAATCTTAAGCCAGCAGTTTTCACGGTGTGGTTGAGGTTCCCAAGTCTCTTTCAAGAGGTTCATAGAGTCCAAATCACTTATGGGTAAAAGATTCATTCAGAGTACAATGGATTTTAATAAAACAAAGTTCACTGATACGGTTTCAGATTCCACATTGCAGCTGTTAGGAAATTATCTTTTATCAAGTTTCACTATCATGTCAAAGAGAAATATCTACTACTTTGTGAAAAGGCTATTAAAATTCTGTTTCCAACTCTATGTATTTTCTTCATATATGTCAACCAAATCAATATATTGCAGCAGAGTAAATGCAAAAGCAGATATGAGAATCCAGCTGTCTTCTATTAAGTTGAATATTAAAGTGATTAACAAAACTGTAAAATAATGTCACTCTTCTTTTTATTTTGGAAAATGTAGTTATTTTTATCAAAATATATTATGTATGCTAACATGTAGTACATTCGTTATTTTTGATCAGTTAATGAATAAGTAATTTTTAAATTTTTCAGTGTCAATTTCTAATAAGGTAATTATTGGTAGACATAACCAACATAAACAAAAGCTTTCTGGACTCCACAGAAATTTTTAACAGTGTAAAGGGTATTGAGACCAAATTTGAGAACTGATGCCTTCTCCCTCTCTCTCTCTCTCTCTCTCTCTGTTTCTCTCTCCTTCCCTTCAAAGCCAGATTTCTTGGAAAATACATTTTTACCATTCACTCACTGCTGCATTAAAACTCTTCTTAAGTCACCCAGTTTCCAAATCTAACACACCCATGAGTATTTATTGGACCTCTCTGGGTCTTTTATACTAACCTATCCCCTGCTCTAGAAATCTCTGATATGCTATTGTCCTAGTTTTCTTCTTACCTCCATGGCTTATCAATACTTTTTAAAGGTTCTTCTTGCCCTTCATTTCTTCACAATCTGTATGTTCCTAATAGGCAACCTCATATTTACTTGTTGCTTCAACCAATGATTCACTTATGAATATGTAAGAATGCTCACATAGTAAGTATTCTTTACCTAAACCTTTCTCCCATGCTTCAGACCATATATCCAGCTACTTAGTGCCAACTCCCCTACATGGTGCCAGAGGTAGATATTTACCATTTAACATGACCACGAACACTTCATTTCCTCTATCATCTAACTGCCTAAGCCAAAAAGCCAAGAATCAACTTCTTGGTTTTCCTCACTCTCCTTTCCCTTTAATATCTGATTTTTCATTAAATGATTTTTATTTGACCTCTAAATCCTTGAATCTTTATTTTTCTCTATTCCTCGACTTTTTTCAGGCTTTCATTTCTGCTCACATAGATTATTGGAAAGTTTTCAAATGGATCTCCTTGTCTCAATATACATCCCTTCAATTTTTTTATCCAGAGGAATCCACTTAAGCAAATAAGATGACATAACACCTTTCTTTAAAATCCTGAAATTGGGGCACCTGGGTGGCTCAGTCAGTTAAGCATCCGACTCTTGATTTCAGCTCAGGTCATAATCTCAGGATCATGAGATTGAGCCCCACATTAGGCTTCAAGCTCAGCGTGGAGTCTGGTTGAGGTTCTTTCCCTCTGCCCCTCCTCTCCTTGCTCAAGTACATGCTCTCTCTCTCTCAAATAAATAAATAAAATCTTTAAAGTCCTGAAATGGCTTCCCTACAACTTTTAGTATAAAGCTTAAAGTCCTTGTCTTAGCATATGAGGCGCGTGATGATTAGGCCCTGTCTACCTCTCCAGCCTCATCTCTTACTACTTAAGAACATGTCTCCTATGCTCCAGCCATAGCAAACTCCTTGCCTGAGCCTCATCCATGTTCTCCCTGCTATTCCTACTGTCTGGAATTTCCTTTTAGGTTGATCTTCATTCCTTTTCACTCATCCTTCCAATCTCCCTCCCCACCCAGATCTGTCTTGATGTATTTCCTTCAGACTGCCTTGGCTCCATGCTTCTCTGGGCCTCCACACCCTACACACACCTCTTGGAACATTTATCACTCACTGTAATTGTTTGTATCCCTTGCTGGACTAAGGAGGTTGAAAACAAAGATTTTTTTCTCCTTTCTGTAGCTCCCATCGCTTAGTACAAAGCCTGACATGTTTTTTGAATATATGAATAAATGAAAAGAAATGTCTTGTTTTTATAGAAAAGAGAGTGACTTGAACAATGCATTGAGTTATACAAGCAGGGACATATGGCATGAATTTTGGAGTCAGATATGAGTTCAAGTCCAACTCTCTCATGTACTGCCTTTGTGAAGTAAATATGTTAAAATTGCCTTCATCACTTTAAGGACTAAGTGAAATATATGACTCACCTAGCATGGTACTCGACAACAAATTCATTAATTCCTAACTCTTACCAGCAATATATACAACTTGCCAGTCAGTAGTTATCTATTAGCAAATGAATTGAACTCATGGAGCTTACAGTCTAATGGGGGGAGGCAGATAGTAAACAAGAAAATAAATACATGATTACAATTACATTGTGCAGTGATGAAAGATAATTAGGTTGAGGGCAGATAAACCTACTTAGATGTGGTGGTCAAAGACGGCCAAAGAGAAGAGAATACAAATATGGAGGCCTACGATATAGGGAGATGTTTTGTTTTTTACTCTTTTATAGCTTCTGAATTTTGTACCACATGAATATATTCTTTACTCCAAAAATTAATTACATTTTAAAGATAAAAATATAGAGTGAAGAAGGAGAATAATTGACATAAGAATATCTGAATCTCTTTGTCTTGATTAATTAGAAGGAAAGGTTGCCACTTGCTGAAAATGAGAGGCATGGAGTTCAAATAAAACCACACGGAGAGAGGTCGAGGCATGAAATAGTCACTGAGGACAATGGGTGAAGACAAGTAACAGGACTCACAGCAGTGTTGAAGGCCCCATGGAAAGGGGATCCCCATAAATTTTTGTTCATACCAGTCTTCTCAGCTAATTCTCTATAGCTATATTCAGCAGTGCTGGTGTACAAGTAAAATTGAAATGTATCCCTGGCTGTCGCTCTCCAAGGTGGAGTGGCAAAAGAAAGAGGGGACTGAGGAAATAAAGGTTTTCTCTAGAGTGTAGTTAAAGTAGTGAGCCACAGAGTTTGGCTTAGTAGGGAATGAATTATGATCAGACAGGTCTGTTGGACTCAAATAACATGAAGCACGTTATAGGAAAATTTGGTTATTTACCATATCTTTTAATGCCACTCAAACTTTTTTTTTTTACTTCTACCAAAGAGTGTTGGCAAATGTTTAGTAGTACATAAATACTGATTGAGAAAAATATTTTAAATTGAAAAACAAATCTTTTATGAACAGAATTGATTCCTGAATATTTTCTGAATTTTCAGGAATTTTTCTGAAAAAGTGAATTTTTCGCTTCTTTGTGTAAATTACACTTAAGAAATGTCAGAAAAATAATTCAATTTGTTGTTGATAATTATAGGTGGAGAAAGAAAGTAAGACCAAAGGACAATTAGGCAAATAAACCACAATTTCAATTTCTTCTTAGGATATCAATGAGTTGACTTTGGAGTGTTCCTTTATTATGGTGTAATCAGTTGCCAACATTTCATATATTGTAGCAAAATGTGATTTATAAGCTTACAGATGTCATCGCTAAAACTACCATGAAATTTTAGTGAGAATTTTTCCATATTTTAGGAATAGAAGATGAACAAACACATAACATCTTCAACATATGTGCGCTGCCTCAGTGTTGGACTAATTAGGAAGCTGTCAGATTTTATTGATCCTCAAGAAGGATGGAAGAAGTTAGCGGTAGCTATTAAAAAACCATCTGGTGATGATAGATACAATCAATTTCACATAAGGTAATGTATAAAAATCTTTTTCTCTTTAAATTCTTACATCACAATTAGAATGATAGATAGATATAAATACCATTTAATGTTGCAATTCAGAAAATAAAACTCCAAGGGAAATAATGGTAATAAGTAACCTCTTTTTTTCTGTTTTTGCAGTTTTTGCTTCATTCTCCATTATGTCAGCTAGGCTAGTGTTGTGATTTCGCAAACAAGTTTTTGGATTAGAATCAAGATCCCCACTTTTACTCTAGTTTTCTGTTTAGCAAGCTGAGAAAGTTCCCTCTGCCTCACACTTGTCACATCCAGATTGAACATAAGGGTATTATAAGAATCTCTAGTAAAATTCTAAGTGTGTGAATCTCTACTTCACCTTAACAGTGTACTTTGAGAATTCTTCAAAATGACATTTTAAAGTTGCCTGTAAATGTACACATATATGAACTGAATTCTTAGTTCTTAGCCAGGATTTTATAACACTATCTTCAGATAATCTCATTCTTTGCCTCTATTTATCTCTGCTTGATTTACTATAAAATGTGAGTACAATTTTATTTTTTGTCAGTGATTTCAGCCCAAAATCTGTCTTTGGAAGCAAGAGGAAAAGACATTAATTTGTGATTTTCAGCATTAACCTGATAAAGATCCCAAAGCCTTAACTCCCATATTAGTCCTTCCAGGAAATGTTTCCTCATATGAAGGATAAACATCTTAAATTACTTGAAAGAAGCTAAAGTTTAGGAATGCCTGAGCGGCTCAGTCGGTTAAGCCTTCAGCTTGGGTCATGATCCGAGTCCTGCACTGGGCTCCTCGCTTAGCAGGGAGCCTGCTTCTCCCTCTGCCTGCCGCTCCCCCTGCTTGTTCTCTCTCTCTCTCTGACAAATAAATAAATAAAATCTTTTAAAAAAATAAAAGAAGCAGCTTAAGTTTAAACCTTGAAAAATGATTTTTAAAAATAGTTTATTGATGTTACTATTAAAAACTTTAGGAGGATAGTTGAGGCAGTGGTGAGGAGAAAAAGCTCTTCTCTACAGAATAATGGCAACAAATAATTATTGAAAGATTTATAAAAAGTTACCGATTTACAATCACCAATGAGTAATTGATGCATGTAAGACTCATCAATGTTGCTAAAACCACAAGATAAAAAGTTGTCGATGAACAAGATATGCACAAGATTTCGAAGTATTATCCACAGGTTACTTATGAATTATGAAGGGTAAAGGTACTTTTATAAGGAAAAAATCTGAAGTACACCTCCATAACCAAGTAATCAAACTTGGGGTCACAGATAATGGCACAGACTGCATTATGTGGCTCTGGATGTGATACAATGGGAAGAACACGTTGTCACCCAAGCAGTGTTCTTAACAAACATTTTTAACCTGAATTTAATCATGAGAAGGTAGCCAGACAAATCTAGACTGTGAGACATTCTACAGAGTGTTTGGCTTACACTCTAAAATGTGTGCACACACACACGCACATACACACAGGGAGAGGTAGAGGGAGAGGGCAAGAACACAAGCGTGGCAAAGTGTTATCCACTGGCCAGTTGGTGTATCTAGGTGAAGGGGAAACAGTTGTTCATGGTATTATTCTTACAACTTTCCTGTAAGTTTGAAATTTTTCAACATAAAAAATTTGGAGGCAAACCAGAAAAAATTGTTAAGTTTTTAAATGTTATTTTTCAAACTAATTTTCAAAGAAATGAAAAACTGATCTGTTTTTCCTTTAATGTAATTGAAATATAATTAAGATCAAAGGAATAATTCCCCAAGTTTATATATGGTATTCTGTTTCTTTAAGCAGAATGATTTATTAAAAATCATATGGCTAGCAGAGTTAGTAAGTCAGGTAGGGAAGTAATATAGCTTAGTAGGTTGAGAGCATACCCTTATGTCAAGTGAGATCTGAATTTGGATCTCAATTTAAATACAGTGTTTTGGCTGTGTGGCTATGGGCTGGTTACCTCTCCACACCTGGTTTTCTCATTAATAAATCAGTATTATATTCATAGTATCTTTGAAAATTAAATGAATTCATGTGGGTGCATCCTGTGGCCCCCGAGCAGATACTCAGTAAGTATTCAGTTTATGTTAACTGACAGTATCATCGCCTTCAGCATCTTTTTCCCTTCTGCCTATCTTCCTGGTTCTCAGTAATTCTTGCTGGTTCTCCTGCTGCCCCTTTCCTTAAATACTATAGGAGGTGCTGTGGGCGAGACAGGGGCATGGGGGGAATAATTCCTATTTTCATGTGAAGTCTATTACATTACTAATTTTGGTTTTTTTGTCACTTGCTTTTAAGGAGATTTGAAGCATTACTTCAAACTGGAAAAAGTCCCACTTGTGAATTACTGTTTGACTGGGGCACCACAAATTGCACAGTTGGTGATCTTGTGGATCTTTTGATTCAAAATGAGTTTTTTGCCCCAGCAAGTCTTTTGCTACCAGGTAAACAGAGTGTGATTAGGGCATCAACGATTAGGGTGGATAGGCAAGTGGCAGAAATAGGAACATGTCTCCTTACTCTTACTTTTTTCTCCTGGTAGATGAGCCTTACCTTTGAGACTGCTTTTCATTCTTTCCACCCTTCCCGACTCATACAAGCACCCCAGACATAAGGCATTGCGGACTTGCTGCTAAGGACATGGAGGCTTCATGATCGGGTTCTGAGCCCACCATTCAAGTCAGGTAGTTTTGTGCCAAAAGGAAGTTTAGAAGGACGGAAATTAGTTTTGGTGGGTTTGGGGGTTTTTTTTGAACTCTTGTCTTTTTTTCACCTTCAACTCCCACCCCGATGGGATCTGTGATCGTGATTTCCTTACATTGTATTCTGTTGGGTCACTGTTTAGATGCCTTCCTCATAACCTTATTTTTTCCCTTTGATTCCACTTACACCAGCAGTTCTCACTATTCTGTGTGCAGATTCCTGGCTCTATTCCAGACCTCGTTATCAGAATTCTTGACTTGGGTTAAGGCCGATGTTTTTAAACAAACACTTCAGTGCTTCTGATGTAGGTGGCTCATAGACTTTTTGAAAACACTGCCTTACCCTCTCTACTCATCTTACTTAAAAATTCTTACTAGGTCGCTTCTTGTGTGTGCTGTGAGAAAAGGAGGTTAAACCTGTGGAAACGGGGATGATGTCAAATGAACTGAGTTCCTAGTTTAACTTTTTCATAAACACTTTTTCTTATGGCAGAACAACTTATATCTTACTTCATTTGGCAGATGCTGTTCCCAAAACGGTTAATACACTACCTTCTAAAGAAGCTGTAACGGTTCAGCAGAAACAGATGCCTCTATATGGTAAAGACAGGACATTTGTGTTACCTGTGCAGAATCTTGAACAAAACTATATGCCACCTGACTCCTCAAGTCCAGAAAATACAAGTTTAGAAGATAGCGATACACGTAAGTAACATTTGCAGTGCTTTCTGCTAGTGGATTTGTCATTAAGACCATTGCTGCTTTGAAATAAATCTCCCCTTTTTCTTGTGAACACTGGCCGTAGCTCTTTTTTTTTTTTAAAGATGTTACTTATTTGAGAGAGAGAGCGTGCACACGCACAAGCCGGGGAGGGACAGAAAGAGAGGGAGAAGTAGGCTCCCCGCTGAGCAGGGAGCCCAATGTGGGACTCAGTCCCAGGACCCTGGGATCATGACTTGAGCTGAAGGCAGACACTTAACCGACTGAGCCACCCAGGCACCCTGGCCATAGCTCTTCTGTGGGTTTTCTTTTTTCTCTCCTGACTTATTAAGCACCATCTCCATTGTATTAGTCAGTGTGTTATCAGTGAGTACAAGCAATAGGATGTACAAACAACCACAGAAGTATGACATAATGTGTAACTATTTACATAACTTGAAAAGGTCATTTTTTAAAGAAAATAAGTGACTAGAGTTTTGGGTGGAGGATCACCAGGCAGAATTCTCAAGATGAAGCTTAAATTTTCATTTTAAAAGATAGCTGTACTCTCTCCTATCATGCCTAATCCAAAGTTGTAAACATTTGTGTATATATGAAATAATCAAGTTGAGAAAATATTAAGGTTATTAAAGCCAGTATATTTTTTATCAAAGTACTTTTTTCCTTATTTTATTGACATTATAGGTTTTCACAGTTTTTCATTTTATGAATTGAAGAATGTCACCAATAACTTTGACGAAAGACCCATTTCTCTCGGTGGCAACAAGATGGGAGAGGGAGGATTTGGAGTTGTATATAAAGGCTATGTGAACAACAAAACTGTAGCAGTGAAGAAACTTGCAGCGGTAAGTTATATGTTTAGGAGTAAAAAGAATTAAAGGAAAAGTTGCTTCCTCGTGTGCTATATCATAAGTTTTAAATTAATCTTTAGGAAATACATTATTTCAGTGTATGTTTTCTTTAAACATCCTTCTTTTTTTTTTTTTTAAAGATTTTATTTATTTATTTATTTGAGAGAGAGAGAGAGAGAAACAGCATGAGAGGGGATAGGGTCAGAGGGAGAAGCAGGCTCCCCGCTGAGCCAGGAGCCCAATGTGGGACTCGATCCCAGGCCTCTGGGATCATGACCTGAGCCGAAGGCAGTCACCTAACCAACTGAGCCACCCAGGCGCCCCTTTAAACATCCTTCTAAGCTGGTAGCTTTTAACACTTAAAAATTTGTTGAAAGCTATGGATCCTATCCCTACAAAAATGTCGTTATGGACATACACATATGAGTATACATATAATTTCAGAAGATTCACAAAATGAAGTTGAAAAGCCCTGTTCTACATAGTGCTTCATGCATAATCAAGATGAAAATGGGAAGACTCTAAGAAAATTTTGTAAAAATAACTTTCTTATGTTACTTTTCTCATTTAAAAATAAAGCTTAAAAAATATACAATAAGAAAAAAGATTGAAAAAAATTCTTGTCTAAGTCCTTCATTCCCATTTCTTCTAGAGTGTTCACCATGTACTCGATTTGTTATAACTGTTATTATATTCTAGAAACATCCATGTATTACATATTTATATGATAAAGATAGTCGCCTGTTGTAATATATGTTACAAATACTTTTGTAGATTTCGTTTGTCTTTTTCCCTTCAAATTTGCTTATGTTTTTTGTTACAGCAAATTTTTTCTTCAGAATGCTTATGCAGTAAATTCTCATATTATTTCATTTTGTTCCTACAATAACTCAGTGAGGTTTATATGGTTATATGGTTTATAAGGTTTTTTTCCCTTCCACTAACTAGCCAGGGGACTTTAAACAAATCATTAAAATTTCTAGTTCTCAGTTATTCTATAAAATGGAGAGAATAATACCTTTACTGTTTCAAAGAAAGCAAGATCAGCCAGGCCATCTTTTGCACCTCCTTCTAGCTTTAGGATCTTTGAGGGTATTGTATTGTATTATATTATATATTCTTTTATTTTTTCAGATGGTTGACATTAGTACTGAAGAACTGAAACAGCAGTTTGATCAAGAAATAAAAGTTATGGCAAAGTAAGTTAATTTGGCAATGTGGTAGAGCAGAAAAGAGCAGCTCCAGGAGTAGAGGACCTGGTTTCTCACTCAGAGTGTGCCATGAACTAGTGATATTTCCAAACATGTAGAATTAAACTAAAGGGTTTAGATGAGAGGAATTGAAAGAATTTTGACTCTACAAGTCTGTGACTACAAATACTCACATGCCTGGAGCTTAAACAGCACTCTAAGAAGTGCTATATCATAGCAAAGTTCCAAAGGATTTCAGCTATCTTCCGTTATCATGTTTACTGCTCCCATATTCATGAGAGATAAGTTATAGAGATACAAAAAAAATTACAGAATAATAGGCCCTTAGATATGGTAACAACCCTAAATCAGGAAAAAAGTTATATGCCAGAATCCTTAGAAGACATTGACCCAGTACGCTTGACAATTGCTGGGCGTTGTCAAGAAGGATAAGCGAAACAAATCAGGATCTATTCTGATAATTGTAGTGCAGTGTATTTTAGGTGTCTGGTCTCATTTAACCCTCATAACAGTTCTTATAATCTCCCCTACCTTTTTTTTTTTTTTCAAAGAGATTTAGAAACATTATGTAACTTGCCTGAGGCCACATAGCTGGTAAAAATCAGATCCGCTTTTCATATCCAGACCTATCTGATTCCAGAGCTTAAGTTTTTTCGTTTTCCTTTTTTAAAATTTATTTATTTTTTAGTACCAAAATGTAATTGACATACAATGTGATATTAGTTTCAGGTATACAACATGCCGATTCGACAATTCTGTACATTACTCAGTGCTCACCACAATAAGTATAGTCCCCATCTGTCACCTTAGAACATTATTGATATGAATCCTAATGAGATGTACCAATTTACCTCAATTACACCCATTGCTATAAATTACCAATTGTAATTGCTTAACCCCAAGAAAGAAATAATAGACTGGAATTAATTCAGTCATAGTAAAAATAATGCACGCTGATAAAAAAACAAAAACCAAAACAAAACAAAAACCTCTTTCTTTCAGGATTTTGTTCCCCCCCACCCTTATACCCACTCTGCAATCCTAAAAGTAACTTGCTCAAAGTAGATATTCTAGGAAATACAGGAATATATATTTAAAATAATAAAAACCATCTCTTAAATATATCACTCAGAGCGAGCCATGGCTAATATTTCGATGTACTTGCTTCATGATGTGTGTGTAGCATTTTTCCCATGTCATTAAAAATAATTTTAAAACATTTTGTTATTGTATATTAGTTTTAATTTTAAAGTATTGTATATCAATTATTTAGCATACATGATGATTATATTTTATTTAACCAGTACCCTACTAGGTTTGTTTCTAATTTTCAACATTACAAATTAAAGTTCCTTTAAATCTCATTGTATATAAATCTTTAAATGCAACTCTGCTTATTTTATCAGGTAGAATCCTAGAAGAATCACTGGTTCAGATTGCATGAACTTCTTAAAAACTTTCCAAGTACATGTCCAAATGGCTTTATAAATAAATTATGGTAATTTACACTCCTATCAGCAATGTATTATAATTTTAAATTTCACTACCTCACCACCATTGACTATTATTACTGTTTCTTAATAAGTACCAATTTCTGGACCTTACTAGCAGAATGACCCTGGCCAAGTTTCTTAACTGTTAGTTTTCTCATCTATAAAATGGGATAATCATAGTGTTTACTTCATTAAGTTATTGTGAGGATTAAATAAAACAAAGCAGGTAAATTGTTTACCGCAGTGCCTTCTACATCGTACAAACTCAGCAAATGTTACCTACTTGTTTTTAAAATGTGTCAGTTTGATGGAAAATAGAGTACTTATTGTTTTAATTTGCACTTCTTAAAATATTTATGAGGATAGACTGTTTTCAAATTAAAGTCTGATTTGAAATCATGAAATCCCAGAATTTTAGATGATTTTGAATCAACAAAGTGAGTAAGCACTTGGATGGAATACATATCATGTTCTAAGTATATTTCTAGGCCCTCATGTATTTGCTCATTCAATTCTCACAGCATCCATGTTACATAGTAGGGGTTATTATCCACATTTGGTGAATTTGCTGAGGCTCAGTTGAGGTTGTTAACTTGTTAAGTGTTAATTTGGCCTATAGGTTGAATATCCAGGGGGTGGCAGAGCTGAATTTTAAACTTAGGACTTTGCCCAGTTTTCTTTCTACTGTACCATAGATACCTAAGATTTTGTTATAGTTCAGCTCTCTTTAATTTTATTCCTTTCAAGTAGATAAAGAAATTCAAATTAGGTTATAAATAATAAGATATCATTAAGGATCAACTATGTGTAAATTAGGTGTGGTTAGAAATCAGATGTCTATAAATCAGGGCTTTGGATGTGTTAGAAAATTCTTGAAAGGGTTGGCATACCAGTTTCAACAGACTTCTTAAAATCTTGCCTGTAAAACTATCATTGAAAATTGTGCTACACAAAGGTAATTATCAGCCCAGTCCTTAACCAAACTATCACAAGTTCCAAAGTTCTAAGTTATTAAGCTTTTACTATAAAATAGAAACAGGAGGCGCCTAGCTCAGTTAGAAGAGCATTTGATTCTTGATCTCAGGGTTGTGAGTTCAAGCCCCACACTGGGTGTAGAGATTACTTAAATAAATAAAATAGAAAAAGGATTTGCTTCTAATGTTGATCAATATTGACTGAAAGAACTGTTTGCAGAAAATTATAAATGGTTACAATAAACATAAATAAATATGTTATAAACATATGTATCATAATGATATATAGCATATCATTATTTTCTTGCTCTTTTTTTCTGTTAAAGCTCTAAATTGAATAACCTCCAACCTACAGCTGAATATATGTATGTGTCATAATAATTTTGAGTGGAAAATTATTTGTCGTAGGTGTCAACATGAGAACTTAGTAGAACTGCTTGGTTTCTCAAGTGATGGAGATGACCTCTGCTTAGTATATGTTTATATGCCCAATGGCTCATTGCTAGACAGGCTGTCTTGCTTGGTAAGATATTTGTTCATCAGATTGTTCGGGTTTCTATTTATGTGTTGGAATACTAATATTCACTTTGTGACAAGATTATTTAAACCATATTAGTCTTAATATTTTTCCTGCTCTTTGAAAATTATACAGTTGATAGGTATACAACTGGGATTGCTGTTCTATTAGGTGATAATCTTAAATACAAAATTACCAGTCAAGACCAGTCTTTGAAGGTGCTCTTATATATTTTTGTTGTCAAATAAGAAATGCTGACTCTGACTTGATCTTATTTAGAGATTATTTTTGAACAATTTTTAAAAATTGCAGTTCTACATTCTTGGTGATATAATATCGTTTTCAGTAGTTGCTTAGAAAAATGTTCTGTTATATATTTTCTATAAATTTTCTCATCCTCTTTTTTTTTAATGGGTTGGTTTCTTACTTCATAAGGATGATACTCCACCACTTCCTTGGCACATGAGATGCAAGATTGCTCAAGGTGCAGCTAATGGCATCAGTTTTTTACATGAAAACCATCATATTCATAGAGACATTAAAAGGTAAATGCTACTCTTAAAAAAGTTTTTGGAAAACCATCTTTAGAGAATGACTTGCTCTCACTCTTTCTATTCAATATTCATATGCATGTTTTAACTTAGAGCACTGCATGAAAGCTCTTCTCATTAAGACGTCTATAATCTCCTTTATTCCAAACCCACTGACCTATTTTTAGTACTCATCCTACATGGTCTTTTTTTGAATAGCATGGCATTTTGTTTTTCTTGACTACTTTTGCCTTGTCAAAATTATTTTCTTGGGGCGCCTGGGTGGCTCAGTCATTAAGCGTCTGCCTTCGGCTCGGGTCAGGATCCCAGGGTCCTGGGATTGAGCCCCGCATCGGGCTCCCTGCTCAGCGGGAAGCCTGCTTCTCCCTCTCCCATTCCCCCTGCTTGTGTTCCCTCTCTCGTTGTGTCTCTCTCTGTCAAATAAATAAATAAAATCTTAAAAAAAAAAAATTGTTTTCTGGATCACCACTATTTTCTGAATCACTCTCATCCTCCATGGGTGCATTTCAATTCTCTTTCTTCTTGCATAAATAACAAGTATTAATTGAGCACCTACTATATGCTAGGCACAGTAGAAAATACTTAGCAAAACTAGCACTTTTAGTGTTTGACATCAATCAAATGATCACTAATAATAGAACTTTAGTAAGTAGTATATAGTATTTAATGTACAGTATTAGTATAAATAAGAGTTCTCTGAGGAAGTAATATTTTAGCAGAGATCCAAAGAATGAGTAGGAAATAAGTGGGCACAATTAGAGGGTAGCTAAAGAAGGTAGGGAGAAGAACATTCTAGAAAGAAGGGACTACATTTGTAAGACCAGTGTTGAGAGGGAATATGAGAGCATGATGAATTACAGGAAGTGAAATGAATACAGTATAACTGAAATGTAGAAATTGAAGGAATGATTGATATAAGAGAGAATTATAGAAGTCAGCCTGGAGCTAACCCCTGTAGGATCTAGTAGACTAAGGTAAGGACTTTAGTTTTATCATAAATGTAATCGATACCATTGAAAAATTATAAGTACAGATGTGGTATCATGTTTAAGTTTGGAGAAGATCACTTTGACTTGAGTGTAGAGAACAGTTTCTAAGAGGGGATAGTTAGGAGGCTATCACAGAAGTCTTGGTGGTAGCAGTTCATATCAAAAGAAGTGAGCAGATTTGAGAGATTAAGATGGCAGGACTGGGTGTCTCAGTTGGTTAAGCACCTGCCTTCAGCTCAAGTCATGATCCCAGGGTCCTGAGATAGAGCCCCAAATTGGGCTCCCTGCTCCGCTGGGAGCCTGCTTCTCCCTCTCCCTCTGCCCCTCGCCCACTCATGTTCACTCTCGCTCTCACTCTTTCTCTCAAATAAATTTTTAAAAATCTTGAAAAAAAATAAGACGGGAGGACTTGCTGATATCTTGGCTGTAGAGGGGTCAGGGAGAGGGACATGTCAGGAATGACTCCTGGATTTCTAGCTTCCTGAATTGCATTCTGGGATGATTGTGGCATAATTTACTTACATAGAAAGCACTGGAAGAGGACAAGGTTGAGGGTTGAAGATGTGAATTCTCTTTTGTACATGTTGTGTTTAAGATTCTTTTAAAATATAGAAGTTGAGGGGCGTCTGGGTGGCTCAGTCGTTTAAGCGTCTGCCTTCGGCTCAGGTCATGATCCCGGGGTTCTGGGATCAAGCCCAGGTTCAGGCTCCCTGCTCAGCGAGAAGCCTGCTTCTCCCTCTCCCGCTCCCCCTGTTTATGTTCCTACTCTCGCTTTCTCTCTCTGTGTCCAATAATTAAAATCTTAAAAAAAAAAAAAAAGATATAGAAGTGGAGATGTTAAACAGGCAGTGTGATATACAGATATGGAGCTGAAAAAAGTCTGAGCTGAAGATATAAACTTGTGTATTACTTACATATAGATGATAATTGAAGACCTATTATATGATTGTATTCTCTTAAGGAGAGATAGAGATTAGGAAAAGATCCCAAGATTTAGTCCTGAGGAACTTTAAGACTTAATGGCCAAATAGAAGAGAATGATCTCAAAAAGGAATCTAAGAAAGTAGGCACAGAAAGGTCAGATGAGAACCTAGAGAGTATGATATCTGTGAAAACAAGGAAAGAGAGTATTTCCCAAGAGGAACTAGTCACAAATGCCAGTTGCTTTTTAGAGGTCAGGATGAGGACTGAAAATCACCATTTGATTAGTGCCCTGAAGATCATTGGTATCTTTACAAAGCCCTACTTCCCCATAGTAATTGGGCACAATTCAGGATGTAGTTGAGGAGAGATTGGGAGCTAGAGAACTGAAATGTGAGTGTAGACAAGTCTTTTATGACATTTAGATAGTGAAGGGTGCTTGCTGGAAATGATGTGTCATTCAGGAAACTTTTTTTAAGATGGCAGAGACTAAAGCATGTTTTTATGCCTAGGGGAAAAGGGAGATGATAAAATAGAGAAGTGAGATAAATTAATGGAGTAGGGTTCCTGAGAACATACGAAGGAGTCCAAGTAAGAGATCAGCCTATAGATGAGAGGACAGGCACAATCTCTCATCCCTTACGTATTGGTGTATTTCCCCCTATTCTCACCTCCTGTTTCTTCTCTTCGCACAACGTGCTCTTGCTGACATTATATTGACTTCACCTGCTATCTATGTGTGGGTGACACTCAAATCTGTATCATCAGCCTCTGATCCTATATTTTCAATATCTCCAGACCAAAAACACCTTGCCTGGGTGTTCCACAGCAGCCTCTAAGTTAACAAGTCAGAAATCAAATTCATTTTCTCTTCCAAACCAAAGTCTTCTTCCTGTATTCCCTTCCTGATCAAATGAAGTCACTATTTATCCTGTCTCCCAAGCTAAAGACTTTCTCATTCCTCACATCATACTCATTACAAAGTTCACTGAATGTGCCTCAGATTCTCAGCTCCTTTTTTTTCCTCCACTGTTCTTTCTTTATCTAGACTCTCACCATCTCTCATTTGCTTTATTACAAGCTTTCCTGGTCAGCCTTTAACTAGTCTGTTCTAGTTCTCATCTATTCACTACTACACTGCCAGGTTATGTTCTTAAAAATCAAGGCTAGGGGTGCCTGGGCGGCTCAGTGGGTTAAGCATCTGCCTTTGGCTCAGGTCATGATCCCAGAGTCCTGGTATTGAACCCCATGTCAGGCTCCTTGCTCAGTGGGGAGTCTTCTTCTCCCTCTTCCTCTGCCCCTTCCCCTGCTTGTACGCTCTCTCTCTCTCAAAGAAGTAAGTAAAAATCTTTAAAAAAATCAAGTCTAATAGCACCAATTCCTTACTATGAAAACTTTTGCTGGCGTCCTGCTCTCACAGGAACAAATTCATATTCTCTCCATGTTTCATTGGCACCAGTTTCTTGAAATTGATCATATGTTTTTATGTTTTCATCACTATGTACATGTTGCTCCATTTGACTGAAATGCCTTTTTTCCCCCTCATTTATCCCTCACCTTCTAACAATCCTTCAAGACTAAGCACACTGTTCACCCTCTCCTTAGAATTTCTTCCAGCCATGTGGTTGTTCTCTCAGGATTTTGTATCTACTATCACCATTATGGAGTATTTATTGGATTTTTAGAAATTATTTATGTACCTTTGTCACAGACAAGATTTGAAAATCCCCCATCCATGCAGGACTGAGCTTAAATACCATTATACATAATGATTCTTGATAAAATTTTTTATTGAATGCAACTATGCGTGTATGAGTGAATGCATGTAATGAATGAATAAAGACCTTTTAACCATGTTCTTTCCTCTTTGAAAGATTTCAGATAGTACAAAAAAAAATAACACGTGAAACTAACATAACTGCATGTGAACTATACTGGAATTAAAAAAAAACTTAGAAGAATAAAGAAATGAATAATTAAAATACTTTGGTTGGAAATTTGTTTTTAAATGAGTTGAGAAATATTAGGAAAAGAATAAGAATGGTGCTTTAGGAGACTGAGGGAAATTTCCCCTATGATAAATTACTTATGAAATAATGAAAGTATCTCTCACTAATGCGGACAGTTTTATTTCATTTTTATTCTCTTAAAATTTTTCCTAAAAGCTCCTAAAAAAAAGACAATCTTTTTGCTTTAGTTTTAATCTGAAATCTAGATTTATTTATACAAATTTCAGGCTTTTCTGATGTGTATTATTAAATGGTATACTCTGTAAATATGTACATATGTTCTGTATGTATGTAAATGTTAACTGTTTGACTTGCTTGAAAAGAAAAATATTTTTTTCTTTTCAGCGCAAATATCTTACTAGATGAAGACTTTACAGCCAAAATATCTGACTTTGGGCTTGCACGGGCTTCTGAGAAGTTGGCCCAGACAGTTATGACTAGCAGAATTGTGGGAACAACAGCTTATATGGCACCTGAGGCTTTACGAGGAGAAATAACACCCAAATCTGACATCTACAGCTTTGGTGTGGTAAGTTTCACATATATAATTAGTAAAAATAATCATTCTGGCTATATCTGTGAAATTTAAGTAGAATATTCTGAAATACCTGTCTTGCTTAGCTCTGTTATGTAAATGTGCATATTGTTTACTTTAACCCTTAGTTAAATGAAGTTATAAAAGCTTCTCCAAGTTTGTAGAACTTTTTAAAATGGATTTCTGAAGTTACTGCAAGAAATGACTTTTTACCACACTATCCTCATGAATTAGTATGAAGGTTACATGAAATTAGTGCCTAAAACAAAGATGCCTGGGTAGCTCAGTTAGTTAAGCGTCTGTCTTTGGCTCAGATCAAGATCCCAGGGTCCTGGGATTGAGTTCCACATTGGGCTCCCTGCTCAGCGGGAAGCCTGCTTCTCCCTCTGTTCTCCCCCTGCTTGTGTGCACGCTCTCTCTCTTTCTGACAAACAAATAAAATCTTTAAAAAAAAAAAATTAGTGCATAAAACAAATCATGTCATACAGCACACATTTAATGTCATATTTTTTTAAAAGACGTACACATTGGGGCACTTGGGTGGCTCAATTGTTAGGCATCTGCCTTTGGCTCAGGTCATGATCCCAGGGTCCTGGCATCGAGCCCTGCATCAGGCTTCCTGCTTGGTGGGAAGCCTGCTTCTCCCTGTCCCACTCCCCCTGCTTATGTTCCTGCTCTCGCTTTGTCTGTCTCTGTCAAATAAATAAATATTAAAAAAAAAAAAAAAAGACATACACTTTGGCATTTTCTGATCTACTGGTCTGTTCAGAATAACTTTTACGATGGAGTGAGTGGGAGTGGTTGGAGAAATCAGGTTCTTCTTCATCTTATTTTTGCATATATGTTTCCTATATGGAAATTTAACTTCACAACACTGTGAAGTTAAGGCACAGAGTTGTAGGATATGCCTAAAGTTTAGAAAATAATATTCTAAAAGCCAGAGAAAATTATTCTTGTGAAGAATGCCCTGCAAGACAGGAGAAGGACTATCCAGAACACATATTGAGTGGAACTGATTGTTTTAGTAAGTTGCTAATAGAAAAGTACTGCTTATGGGGATTGGTGGGACCCAAGATTTCTGGAGGGAGTGGTGGTGAGAAATGACCACAACTCATGTCTTTTCTGCTTTTTTTTTTTAAAGATTTTATTTATTCATTTTAGAGAGAAAGAGCACACAAGCGGGGGGGAGTGGCAGAGGGAAAGAGAGAGAATCTCAAGTAGACTCCCTGCTGAGTGAGGAGCCCGTCGCGGGGCTCTATCCCAGGACCCCAAGATCATGACCTGAGCTGAAACCAAGAGTTGGATGCCCCTGTCCTTTCTGCTTTAATGCCTAAAAGGCATAATGCAATATGTGGAAATGATTAATCAGATTTCATAATCAAGATCCATATTTTTTCCATGTCTTGTCTTGTGTGTTACAGTAATGGACTTCTTTTTTTTGTCTTCATAGGTTTTATTAGAAATAATAACTGGACTTCCAGCTGTAGATGAACACCGTGAGCCTCAGTTATTGGTAATTGAAAGATTTATTATTTTTTCCAGTCCTTTTCTCTTTGCATTTATAATCTAAATTTATATGGGTAAATTTGGCATCTAGCAATGTCTTTTTCTATTGGCAATCTTTTCATTGGCAGTTACAAAGTGGCATATGGAAAGAGCATCACAAATTTCTAATCTCAGCTCTGCCACGAAGTATTTGTGAAGCTTGGAAAAGTCACTTATATATTCTATGTACTGGGTAAAACCAGAATAGAACTATATGACTTTTAGGTCTTCTACAGTTTATTTTTATTTTCTTACCTTCAGGGTGATTACTAACAGCTTTTTCAGCTCAGAGAGGAAAAACAATATGGCTTCCATTCAGATTTGTATCAGAATGGAATTGCTAGTAAAATTTTCTATCCATTTCCCTTATGTAGTATTTTATTTATAAAATTATGATAGAAAACTTTTCCTGTGTATTTTATTAGGCATTCAATGGCAATTATATAAATAGACTAACTGAGTACTAAAACCACAAGAAAATTATGCCTTGCCCTTTTTTTCCTGTATAGTAAATTTTAGGAACTTGGAGGGTCTTTCTGTAAAAATAAAGATTTACAGAAATCTTTTGTAATCTAAAGATTTCAGAAATACCTACTATCATGAATAAGTTTTTTTTAAAACTAGTTAAATAACTACACTGACTTTATTCTAATTTATGTGTTCTAATGAGGCAAACCAGTGAGACAAATTCAGATAATATATGTATAACAGATTATTCCCGTAGAATGGAGATGAGAAAGTCAAAGGGTATGATATATTTGCTCAAGGATTGGTGCCATTTTTCACTTTAAGAAAAACAATAAAGGGCACCTGGGTGGCTCAGTCGTTAAGCATCTGCCTTCGGCTCAGGTCATGATCCCGGCGTCCTGGGATGGAGTCCCGTGTCAGGCTCTCTGCTCAGCGGGGAGGCTGCTTTTCCCTCTGCCTCTTCCTGACGCTCCCCCTGCTTGTGCTCTGTTGCTCTCTCTCTTTCTGACAAATAAATAAAATAAAATCTTTAAAAAAAAAAAACATTTGTTTTAAAGCTAGATATTAAAGAAGAAATTGAAGATGAAGAGACGACGATTGAAGACTATGTTGATACGAAGATGAATGACACTGATCCCACTTCCATTGAAACTATGTACTCTGTTGCTAGTCAATGCTTGCATGAAAAGAAAAATAAGAGACCAGACATTAAGAAGGTACTAATTTTTTATATTTATTTAAAAAGTGAAGAAGGTGGGGTTCATCTTTTTTTTCTAAGTTTACATTTCAAAACAACTGTTTAATACAGTTTTTTTGTGTTTTTCTTTTTCTGTCTTTTTTGAAAGGTTCAACAGCTGCTGCAAGACATGACAGCTTCTTAAAATTTTACTGGAATAGACTCTTGATTTTTTTTGTATACACCTATCTAAACCATTTTTTAAACTAAATTTTTTTTGTAAACATTCTTTTTTACCTTTAACAAGGCAGCATGGAGCAGTGCAGTGACTATATTAAAGCTTGTATAGAACTACCAACAAATATAGAACAAACAAAAGTAGAGCCATGATATCGACCCTAAGCCCTAGCTTGTTAGAACCCTCAGTTCTTTAGTAATCCCTTAGACCTTTCCTTGGAACCTCACCAAACACGGTTTGAAAACTATAGAATTGGGGCGCCTGGGTGGCTCAGTCATTGAGCGTCTGCCTTCGGCTCAGGTCATGATCCCAGGGTCCTGAGATCGAGCCCCGCCTCAGGCTCCCTGCTCAGTGGGAAGCCAGCTTCTCCCTCTCCCACTCTCCCTGCTTGTGTTCCCTCTCTCGCTGTGTCTCTATCAAATAAATAAATAAAATCTTTAAAAAAAAAAAAAAAGTAAAAGAAAACTATAGAATTAGCAACAAAGAGGACTGGACCATAGGGTGAAAAGACCCTCGGCCAAAGCCCAGTTCTACTACTAATTTGCTGTAGAGCTTTGGGCAAGCCCTGTATAGCTTTAAGCCTTGGTTTTTTTCCACTGGTAACATTGGGCTAATATCTATTGTGCTTCTCTGACAGGTAGTCATGAAAATCAGATGAGGCAGCATAGGTACATGCACTTTGTAATATGTAAAGTGATATAAAATTTAAAATTTATATACAATCCAATTACAGTCATTTGTATATAGGATCATGTTTGCAGTATGCTATTTTAAGCAATCATTCACCACTAACCAAATATGCCCTGATGTTACTTCCATGATGATATGGTCAATATTAGATTATGTTACATGGCAAAATTGAAGGAATTTTGCAGATGTTGTTAAAGTCCCTAATCTGCTGACTTTGAGTATCAACTGAGAGACTGTGCTAGGTGGGCCTGCCCTAATAAGGTGAGTTCTTACAAGAAGCCTGAGAGATTGTCCCGTGGGCCTTGAAGAAGTAAGCTACCATGTTGTAAGAAGGCCACATTGGCTAAGACTTAAGGGTGGCCTTCTAGGTTGAGAGCCACCTTCCAGCTGTTAGCCATCAATAAAAAAACTGGGACCTGGGTTGTATAACCACAAGAAACAGAATTCTTCTAGAAAGAACAACTGTTTTTCTTCCCATATTTCTGACCCACTGCTTTGCTCGCTAGCCAATGAAAAATTTTTTATTTTAAATTTCTCTCAATATGTTCTATGGGAACCAAGCAGGTAATAGGAACAATTAATAAATGATATGCCTTACTTTTCTAAAATATAATTAAGAGAAATTTAAGATATTCTGAAGCATTTATTGCTCTATCCACTTTCTGGTTCTGTAACCGTATAAAATGGCCATAGATCTCAGCCATCTGTAGTCCTTTTTATTCACTTTCAGAACACAAGCGTACTCAGATACGTACAGTTCAGTTCCAGACCACCACAATAAAATGAGTATCACAATAAAGTGAGTCAAATAAATTTTTTGGTTTGCCAATGCATATAAAAGTTATGTTTACACTATACTATAGTCTATTAACTGTGCAATAACATATGTCTAAAAAATAATGTACATACCTTAATTTAAAGATACTTTGTTACTAGAAAATGCTGAGTATCCTCTGAGCTCTCAGGGAGCTCTTTGCTGGTGAAGGGTCTCTACTCCACGTTGATGGCTGCTGAGTGATCAGGGAGGGTGGTGGTTGCTGAAGGCTGGGGTGGCTGTGGTAATTTCTTAAGTGAAGTTTTTCCCATCAATTGACTCTTCCTTTCACAAACAATTTCTCTGTAGCATGCAATGCTGCTTCATAGCATTTTACCTACAGTAGAACTTTTTTTCAAAATTGGAATCAATCCTCTCATACCCTGCCACTGCTTTATCAATTATGCAGTATTCTAAATGTTTTGTTGTCATTTCGGCGATCTTCACAGCATCTTCACCAGGAGTAGATTCCATTCTCAAGAAACCACTTTCTCCACTCTTCCCAACTCCTCATTTGTTGAAGTTTTATCATGAGATTGCAGAAATTTAGTCACAACTTAAGACTCTACTTCTAATTCTAGTTCTCTTGCTCTTTCCACCACTGAAGTCTTTCCTTCCACTTCCTCCACTGAAGTCTTAAACCCCCCAAAGTCATCTGTGAGGGTTGGAATCAACTTTCTTCATATCAGAAATAAGACTGTTTCCCTTTCTTATCAGTCATGTGTTCACTATAGTAGAACTTTTAATTTACATTCACAACCTAGCTAATTATTTGGTGCAAGAGTCCTAGCTTTTGGTTTATATCAGCTTTTGACAAGCCTTCCTCACTAGAAATCATTTCTAGCCTTTGATTTAAAGTGAGAGAGGGGGCGCCTGGGTGGCTCAGTTGGTTGGGCGACTGCCTTCGGCTCAGGTCATGATCCTGGAGTCCCGGGATCGAGTCCCGCATCGGGCTCCCTGCTCGGCAGGGAGTCTGCTTCTCCCTCTGACTCTCCTCCCTCTCATGCTCTCTGTCTCTCATTCTCTCTGTCTCAAATAAATAAATAAAATCTTTAAGAAAAAAAAAAATAAAGTGAGAGAGGTGTGACTCTTCCTTTCACCTGAATAGAGGCCATTGTAGGGTTGTTAATGTGCCTAACTTCAATATTGTTGGGTCTCAGAGATTAGGGAGGTGTGAGAAGGAGAGAGATGGGGGGGAACAGTAGGTCAGGAGAGCTGTCAGAGCACACACATTTATCGGTAAGTTCCTGTCTTATATGGGCACTGTGCTTGGTGCCCCAAAACAATGACAGTCATTTAACATCAAAGGCCACTGACCATGGATCACCATAACAAATATACTAATAGTTAAAAGTTTGAAATATTGCAAGAATTACCAAAATGTGGCATAGAGACACAAAGTGCGCAAATGCTGTTGGAAAAATGGTGCCAATAGACCTGCTCAACCCAGGGATGCCATAAATCTTCAATTTACAAAAGCTACAGTATCTGCAAAGTGAAATCCAGTGATTTATGCCTGTGTGTATGTATTTTATTTTTTTCCAGCTTTATTGTGGTATAATTGACAATTAAAATTATATTTACTTCAGGTGTTCAGTGTGTTTTGCTGTATGTATACATTGTGAAATGATTTGATAATCAAGCTAATTAACACAACCATCACCTCACATAGTTACCTTTTTTGATTTTTTGGTGTGGTGAGCACATTTAAGATTACTGTCTTAGCAAATTTCAGTATACAATACAGTATTATTAACTATAGTCATCAACTTGTACATTAGATCCCCAGAACTTAGTCATTTTATAACTAAAAGTTTTTATTCTTTGACTAACCTCTCCCCATACTCCTTTGAAGTTTGTATGATTCCACTGTAAGAATGGACACAGATAGGAATGGCTTTTTAATCATTCAGATTCTTTTTTTTAATCATTCAAATTCTAATGTCAAAATGGTCAATATAGAGACCATAGCAATGAATCTCCAAAATTAATGCTACGATTTCATTCCTCTGATGAAATTAAGGTAAAAATCATCTCATGAAATACTCTGACCTAAAACAATAATTAAAATTAATTCAACAAATATTCATTGATTGTTTGCAATGGTCCAAACACTTATAAAAGCAATGAACATATATAATGAGCATTACAAAGTCCTTGTTTTCTTTTTTTTTTAAAGATTTTATTTATTTATTTGAGAGAGAATGAGAGACAGAGAGCACGAGAGGGAAGAGGGTCAGAGGGAGAAGCAGACCCCCTGCTGAGCAGGGAGCCCGATGTGGGACTCGATCCCGGGACTCCAGGATCATGACCTGAGCCGAAGGCAGTTGCTTAACCAACTGAGCCACCCAGCGCCCACAAAGTCCTTGTTTTCTAAGAGCTTGCTCGCAGGATAGTCTCTGTTCAAAGGAGATGAGACACTGAGATGATAATATACAAGTAAATAAAACAAGATCAGGTAGTGAGAAGTATAAAGGAAATACTAAAACTATGTATTGTAATAGATTCCCTGGCTAAAAAGTTTTAACAACACCCAAGCTCAAACAAACAAAACCTACTAGTGTATGGTCTCAGAAATGATAGGCATGTATTGTAACTTAGAAAAAAGAAAATAAAAAATCTAAACTGAATCAAGTTTTGTGTGTTTGTGTTAGCAGAGGCCCTTAGGTGAGAAATGATCCAAGAATAAGACTTTGTCACAAAATTTCTACTATTCTGGGGCAAGGAGTATTGTCTTTCAGATTATATCAGGTGTTTTCCTCTATGAGGCTATTTATGCATCAGGGTAGTTTGTTGAAGATAGTTATTAAGTTTATGTAACTATCTGTTTGCTTGTGTTAACTCCATACTTAACTTGCAGCCTTTCCTTTTCATTTTGATTTCTTGCCTGGATTTGCCTTTTGGAAAATAATGCACAATGACAAAGACTATTACAATCTACATATCAGTTTCTGTTGCAGAATGTCTTTTTATGATTAGTAAAATCACGTTCTAGTTTATACCTAAGTCTTTTGAAAGTTTAGGTAGCATGAATTAAATCATGATTGATCATCTCTGGCTGACCTGCAATTCTAAAATTTAAACCTTAGACCTTTCTCCTACTACAGCCATTCTAATAGCCAGATGGTGTCTCAACCTTTTTAGAATTATAAAGTAGCAACAATCCAGCAATTACACTATTAGGTACACAAAGAGTACAAAAATACTAATTCAAAGGAATACATGCTCCCCAGTGTTTATAGCAGCATTACTTACAATAACCAAATTATGGAAACAGCCCAAATGTCCATCGACTGATGAATATATAAAGAAGAGGTGATATATGTACATATATACATAATGGAATATTACTTAGCCATCAAAAAGAATGAAGTCTTGCCATGTACAATGATGTAGATGGAACTAGAGTATATTCACTAAGCAAAATAAATCAGAGAAAAACAAATACCATATGATTTCACTCGTGTGGAAATTAAGAAACAAACATGGGGGGAAAAGGGGAGAGGCAAACCAAGAAACAGACTTAACTGTAGTCTGTTGGTTACAAGAGGGGAAGTGGGTGGGGGATGGGTTAAATAGGTGATGGGGATTAAGGAGTGCACTTGTGATGAGCACCAAGTGTTGTATGTAAGTGATGAATCACTCTTGTACACCTGAAACTAATATTACACTGTGTTAACTAACTGGAATTTAAAGATTTTTTTTTTTAATTTATTTGACAGAGAGAGACACAGCGAGAGAGGGAACACAAGCAGGGGGAGTGGGAGAGGGAGAAGCAGGCTTCCCGCAAAGCGGGGAGCCCGATGCGGGGTTCAATCCCAGGACCCTGGGACCATGACCTGAGCCGAAGGCAGACGCTTAACGACTGAGCCACCCAGGCGCCCCTACCTAACTGGAATTTAAATAAAAACTTTAAAAATGTAGCTAACATTATGGTAGTAACTATATTGCAACATACAAGTATATTAAATCACCACATGTACACCTTAAAATTACACAATGTTAAATGCCAATTACACCTCAATAAAGCTGGAAAAGAAAGAACTTAAAGGTTAAGCAAGGGACTGCATACGTAGTTCCTCCGCCCTTTTGTAAAATGTCTAAATAATGACAGAACTTTTATTGCAAAGTGAGGTATATCCCCATCACATATTTTAGAAAAAGACTAACACTATTCTTCATAGTGACAACACAATTTGACTATTATTAGTGAGTGGCCTTAAAAATATGTTGAGGGCGCCTGGGTGGCTCAGTTGGTTAAGCGACTGCCTTCGGCTCAGGTCATGATCCTGGAGTCCCGGGATCGAGTCCCGCATCGGGCTCCCTGCTTGGCAGGGAGTCTGCTTCTCCCTCTGACCCTCCTCCCTCTCATGCTCTCTGTCTCCCATTCTCTCTGTCTCAAAAAAATAAATAAAATCTTTAAAATATATATATATATGTTGAAATGTTGACCAATAGCTTAAAAAAAAAAAGTCAGCATCACTTCCATTAATGTCATTCTTTGGTCAAATATTTTTAAATGAATTCATAAGTTGGTAGGGGAAACATGCAATAGCTTACTCTGTTAACCATACTAGGAAAACCTGCTGTACCAAGATTTTATTTATTTACTTATTTATTTGGCCAAGAAAGGTCAATAGTAACATCTGCTGTTAAATATTCAGGGCTAGAAAATGACAAAAGAGCTCCAAAAATTTGCCTCTCCATAAAAACAATGAAAAAGATGGCAAAAATTGTCAGAATTGACTTTTTTTCAGAACTAGAAAACAGCAACCCAAGGAAAATTTACTCAAGAAAAAGGGCTGAATCTCAATAGGAATGACAAGTTTTGTGGCATTTTAACTTGTCCTATTATTATCTCTTATGTCCCAGCCCAGTGGCAGCCTTGAAAAAAAAGCAGCCCACATTCTTGGTACCAGAGGGAGCAGAACAGAGCTGGAGCTCTTTCAAAGCCTCATTCTGAAGAATTGTAATTGTTTGACCTCTCTGGTGGTTCCTTGGAAGATGCCATTCTAAGCCTTATCTTTATTTCACCTGACTAAAGTTCACCTAGTGCTAAAAGCCTCTCTGTGGAGTCATTTGTCAAAAACATATATTGGCAAATGTTTTAATCACAGCTGCCTGAGGTGATGAATAACAGGATAAACAATTGGGGCACCTGGGTGGCTCAGTTGGTTAAGCGTCTTCCTTCGGCTTAGGTCATGATCCCAGGGTCCTGGGATCCAGCCCCTCATGGGCCTCCCTGCTCAGCGGAGAGCCTGCTTCTCCCTCTCCCTCTGCCTGCTGCTCTGCATATTTGTGATCTCTATCTCTCTGTCAAATAAATAAATAAAATCTTAAATAAGTTCAAAGAGTTAAAGGAAATCATGTCTAAAGAACCAAAGTATAAGGATGTCTTACCAATGGGGCGCCTGGGTGGCTCAGTTGGTTAAGCGACTGCCTTCGGCTCAGGTCATGATCCTGGAGTCCCGGGATCGAGTCCTGCATCGGGCTCCCTGCTCAGCGGGGAGTCTGCTTCTCCCTCTGACCCTCCTCCCTCTCATGCTGTCTCTCATTCTCTCTCTCGCAAATAAATAAAATCTTTAAAAAAAAAAAAAAGAATGTCTTACCAAATAGAGAATATCAATTAAAAAAACTAAAAGTATAAGAAGGAGCAAAATAAAAATCCCAATGTTGAAAAGTACAATAACTAAAATAAAAATTCACTACAAGTGTTCACTAGCATATTTGAGCAGCCCCCCCCTCAAAAAAATCAATAAACATGAAGATAATTCAATTGAGGGACAGAAAGAGAATAAAGAAAAATGAGCAGATCTTTAGAGACCTATGGGACATTGTAAAGTTTACCAAGATACATTGTAATGGGAGTCCTAAAAGGAGAGGTGAGAAAATGCTAGAAAGAATATTTGAAGAAATAGTGAACAAAAATTTTCCAAATTTGATGAAAAATATTAATCCAGACATCCAAGAAATTAACAACAGCAAGTAGAATAAACTCAAAGAGATCCACACCTTGACACATCATAATCAAGGTCAGGGAATCTTGAAAGCATCAAAAAAGAAGTGACTCAGCAGGCATAAAGGATCCTCAATAAGATTAATAGATATATATTTATTATGGGTTAGGAAACCAGCTAATAAATCTTGTTAGAAAGGAATATAAAATAAAATTAAGGACTTTCTGTTCATGGATTTGATGTTACCAGTTTTGGTTACTTGGGTTTTTTTTTTTTAATTGTTAGTTTTTAATTTCATTTTTTCTTTTTACCTTTGAATTCCCTTTACCCATTTTGGGAAACCACAGATCTGTTCTCTGTATCTCTGAGCTTGTTGAGGTATTTTTGTTTGTTTCTTTTTTTAGAATACACATATGAGAGATTGTATAGTATTTGACTTTCTTTATCTGACTTATTTCACTTGGCATAATGCCCTCAAGGTCCATCTATGTTGTTGCAAATAGCAGGATTTCATTATTTTTATGGCTGAATAATATTCCATTGTCTATATATACCACAGCTTATTTATCTATTCATCCACTGATGGTTGCTTAAGTTGTTTCCATATTTTGGCTATTATAAATAATGCCAC